GCAAGACAAGACTGCAAGACAAGACTGCAAGACAAGACTGCAAGACAAGACTGCAGGACAAGACTGCAAGACAAGACTGCAAGACAAGACCGCAAGACAAGACTGCAAGACAAGACTGCAGGACAAGACTGCAAGAAAAGACCGCAGGAAAAGAGTGCAAGACAAGACTGCACGACAGGACAGGACTACAAGACAAGAGCACAAGACAAGACTACAGGACAGGACTACGGGACAGGACTACAGGACAAGACTACAGGACAAGACGACAGAGCAGGACTACGGGAGAGGCGTACAAGACAGGAGTACGGGAGAGGAGTACAGGAGAGGAGCACAGGAGAAGAGTACAAGACAGGAATACAGGACAAGGATACAAGACAAGACTACAAGACAAGACTACAAGACAGGACTACGGGACAGGACTACGGGACAGGACTACGGGACAGGAGTACAAGACAGGAGCACAAGACAGGAGCACCGGACAGGCGTACGGGACAAGACCACGCGACACTCTGGAAACGTCTAGAGAGGTAACAGAAACCGCGAGCGGAGCCCTAGGGGCCTGGTCCCTTAGATAAATGCAAAGAGAAGATCTTGTAGGGGGCCTCGGAGTCTTAACTTCTTCGCATCTCTCTTAGAGTATCACGCACTATGCCCTTCAGAGTGTCTCGTGAATTTCTCTGCCGGCCCATTCGAGCGCTCGCCCCCTTTCCCGACAGAAAAGGGAGTTAGAGTTACCGGCGATGAAACCAGAAGTCGAATACGATAAATATCTGCCCGCAAGTAAGATTCAACACCCGGGACAGCTCCCGGCTACTCGAGTGTAGTGATGAAACTTAGGCCTTTTCACTAAGGGAAAACGACAGCAAGCCTGCTGCTTAGGATGCGCTGCTGAAGCTCATAAATTTTGACAAAGCAAACGCAATCGAGGTTGAGTTTTTAACACCTCAATAGGCTTCATAGTTGCCTTAAGAGAGAGCTGATTCGTCCATGCCGCAGTCCCGTAGGGTGGCACTGGCGGATACCAGCTCAAGCTTTGCCTCAAACGAGACCATTGCCCGATCCAAGCATGCCCTGACTTGTCTTGTAAGCGCGTTCGTACTCGAAGCCTTTTTACACTTGTTGCATTAGAGGTCGTGGGGGGGGCTGAGCTATCTGATCCTAGGCGAATGCCGCATCTTTTGTAAAAGTGTCTATTTAATAGTATGAAAGTTATGCCTTCACGGCTTATTTTCTACCAAGTCCAAGTAGGAGAGCCCATCTCGAAGAAACGGCGTGGGCCACATGTCAATACGTCTACTTTCTCATAGGCAAGCGTTGCAGTGCGCTCGTGTTTCACTGCAAAGGCTACCTTCATCACATCATCATGACCACCTGCTGGAAAGAGACGTAGGATGACATCCATCTCCCCGTTCAACTCGTCTTCCGCCGCCAGGTCCTCTGGAACCAGCGCTGGCGGCCCCGTCAGTCGTGACCAGAGATCACCAAGATGTCCCATGACAAAAGATTTTGCCTCTGTCAACTTGTCTGTCCAGAAACCTCTTGGCTGCCTGTGCCTCACATCATTTTCACCGTGCCTCCGTAAAATGATGTCCCTTATTACTAGATTAAGAACCTGCAAGAAGATGCCAACCGGCCTCGTCGCTGTGAAGGCGGTGACGTAACCTGCGAAAGAGAGGTATCGGCTGATCAGGTAGGCCTGTGCTAGAGTTCTTTGGTGCTTGGTGTAGAACTCTTCGGTATACAACTGCTTGCAGTGAGGACTCAAAAACATCCACGGCTTGACCCATTTGCTCCAGTAGTCTGACGACGAAAGCGCAAGCTCTTGCGTATTCGCGTCCTGATCTTGCACAGCGGTGCCAGCCGGACTTGATGTTGTCCTATCGTTACCACCAGAGGCAGATGAATCCGGTATGTACTTCTCTATTAACAATGGCTTATCTTCGTACCTCCCAGAAAACGAGGGATTGCGCACTGGCGGAAAATAGCAACTTGGAAATTGTTGAGCATGCTTCTCCGCCGCGCGATAGAGTTCAGATATCGATTTCCCCTCCAGCATGTCTTTGATCCTAGCCGCTTCGTCGGCGCTAAAATCATCTCTCTCCCCCTCCAGGTCCAGACCGCACGGTGTTTTGTCGCACACGGAGGGTGGAGAAGAAGATGACTTGTGTCTACTAGTGTGTGGCCCCATCTGCATGAACGACTCCGCTGTCGCGTTCACCCACCTCCAAGTCGAGGACGCACGACCAGGGTCACGGCGATTCTTCAGTGCTAGTCCTCCATCCCAGGCGAATTCCCTGGTCTCCTGCTCGTCTGCTACGTCAGTGAAGAATGCATCTCCAGTTACATCTTGTTGCGCACTCTCATCCACCACTTGCATCAAAGCGTCGCCATCGGCCCTCGACTCGTCGAGCAGTTGCAAATCCCCTAGTTCATCCACGGTGACGGTCGTTCTACTTCGACGGACCTCGCTGGCGGTCCGATGCTCTGTGTGCTCAGTCGTGCTGCGGCGCCCATGACTGTCATCCGCCTTTCTTCCTTTATGTCCGGCGAACACAGGAGAAGTGTTGGTCTCGTCTCGTGTGTCTTGAGCTTCACCACCCACCCATTCGCTGCAAGAATTAGAGCGAAGTAAAAGAATCAAAAAATAGAGGTTCGTTCTACTTCCTTCTAGGCGGTCATGTGACTTGTTCTCTTCTTGCGTAAAAGAGGGAAGAGAAAAATCACCTACAATACGACCACCTCATCATCCCAAAAATAGGTTGTTACTTGCCATAAGGTTCTCGATAGAGTCGTTCGGAGCAGCCACTTGCCGGCCGGCCACCAAAGAAACGCCGCAAGAGTGAAGTAACGCAGCCGAAGACGTGGCAAACAGGGTCTCCGCTGGTCGCCTGCGCTTTCCATCGCGACTGCCCTGTTGACCTGCAGGAAAATGGGTACAACAGGGAATAACTTCTCTCCTATCGAAGTCATGTTAGTACTTCTTTCAGAATGAACAAGGTAGAGTACATTCGTGTAAGTGACCTGCACAGAGCAGGAAAGTGCATCAATCTTCCCAAAGATGATGTCTTCTTGCTTATTAGACAAAAGTGTATTCATATAAGGTACACAGTGATGAGAAGAATACCTTGTCGACGTCTCGCCTCGTCTCGTCTCGTCTCGTCTTTCTCTCTACTTGTGCCTTTCCTCATCATCTTTCTTGTCTTTCTTCCCATGGAGGAACCAGCCTCGCGGCTAGTGGTGTACACCCGGCTGTCGTCGTGCTCGTCTTCTTGCACAGAATAGCTGTGCGTCGAACGGAAACGGATGTCGCAGAACGAGCTCGCAGCTGTGCTGCTAGACGACCCGCCAAGTTGGTAGTTGAGAATGCCACTCATATTTTTTTCACGGCCATCAGCAAGGTGAAAAAATTGAATCACAAGTCTCACATTATGCGTCGATAGTGCATCAGACTTGCCTTCTGCTTTTAGCTGTTGATTTTGAACTAAAACTACAAGTCCAAGGACGATTCCTTTTGAACACGACTAATGGTGGATAAGTTTGGAAAGAGTAGTACAGGGAAGAAGGATTATTAGGTTTACAGCTTGTAAACTACTAGCACTGCAACGTGATGGATAGGCCATTTTAACCAACAGCACGCTCTGAATCTCGTTCCATCAAGGGCACCACAGCAATGAATCATATGTGGATACTAGAAGATCTCACATGATATGGATGGAGAGTGGTCACTGAGAAGTATGCATACTTGTACGAGGTAGAGCCTAGCGACGACCGACGATATTAGTTGTACGAGGCAGTAACGATGATATTAGTGTAAGTATAGTTGTTCGAGGCTGTAACGACCGATGATATTACGCTTAGAGTCACGATTAGAATCACAGAGAACTTTTACTTTCTGTTCGAATTGATGACCGAAGCCCAAGCTTTCTCTCAATTTTGCCAATTTTCTCTAGCCGCTCGTTGTGAAGACCGAATCATGCTGATATGGCTGAATTGGAGAGTCTTTGAAGCAGATTTTGTTGTTTCTCTTAAATCAGTGCAGGCCAGAACCGGAAAAATTTCGACTTTCGGTTATAGTTTTCCACTATGTTGCGCAGGGTCCGGGTGCTGGGACGTTCTATTAGTCAGGATTAACCTATAAGCCAAAACACCAACGTTTTCTTGTTCTCCATGCATCCCAGGATAGAACTAGAAGAGTTTTAACCATCATCATTGTGGATTCTCTAAAAAATTTCTCCTCTGTTTTACCCCCGTCGGAAGTTGATTTCTGAAACTTCTTGTGTGTCCCCACATTCAGATGCCCATCACCAACACAATGAATATGAAACAGTCAGAAGCCTTCGCATGATCCCCCCTTTTTTAGACATCCCACCATAATTTCACCAGGTTTCAACAACGCCATATTTTCCCCACAATCATTTCCCCCACTTCCTCGAATATCTTCTCAGCCAAAGTTGGGCTCCATAAGCCCTTTGCGCCATAAGCAAACCATTGACAATATTCCGCAACTTCGTGACTGTTGGGACGTGTTTCGGCGAAGGTTT